AGCAGCAGCAGCTGCTGCTGCTGCTGCTGCTTCTGTTTTGTTTCTTTTGTGCCACTTTCTCGTTTCAAGGGGCTCTTCGCTGTCGGACTCTGCTGCGCTGCTGCTGCTGCTGCTGCTGCTGCCTTCTGCGTCAGTTTCTGTCTCCTTTTGCTCTTCTTTTCGAAACACTTTTTGCTTCTTTTTGCTGCTGTCTCCTTTGGACTTGGCGGAGTGTTCTCTGCTGCTGCTGCTGCGGAGTCTGTCTCTGTCTCTGTTCGCAGCGGGCGCTGCTGCTGCTGCTGCTGCTGCTGCGGGGGCCGTTGCTGCTGCGCCCGCTGCAGCAGCAGCAGCAGCAGCAGCAGCATTAGCAGCAACGCATGCATCTATCCACTCTCCGTAAACATCTATTCCTTCTTCTAATCGACTTATTTGTTTGTCATAATTCGAGCCGCAGAGGCGGCAGCAAAGAGAACCCACTCCCCTCACTCTATCCCTAAAAATAAAAAAAATTGAAAAGAAATTAAAAAGAATTATTAAAAAAGAATTATTAAAAAGGATTATTAAAAATGAATTGTTAAAAAGAATTATTAAAAATGAATTGTTAAAAAGAATTATTAAAAGTGAATTATTAAAAGTGAAATATTAAAAATGAATTATTAAAAATGAATTATTAAAAATGAATTATTGAAAAGAATTATTAAAAAAGAATTATTAAAAGGAATTATTAAAAATGAATTGTTAAAAAGAATTATTAAAAGAGAACTATTCAAAAAAATTATTAAAGAATTATTAAAAAGAATTACTAAAAAGAATTATTAGGAAAGAATTAATCTAAAGAGGATTATTAAAAAAGAATTAATTTGAAAAGAATTCTCGAAAAGGAATTAATTTTAAAACATTTATAAAAAAGGAATTATCAAAAAGGAATTAAAAAAGAATTAAGAAGAATTAATTAAAAAGAATTACTAAAAAAGAATTCTTCAAAAAGAATTATTAAAAAAGAATTATTTACAAAGAATTGTTACAAAAGAATTATTTAAAAAGAATTAATTAAGAAGAATTAATTACAAGGAATTACTAAAAAGAATTAATTTTAAAAAGATTAAGAAAGATTTAAAAAGAATTGAAAATGATTATATTTTCGTTTTTCAATTAAATAGTTATTTAAATCTTCTTCAGCTTTTTTATTTTCTCTGAAATGAAAATAAAAGAAATTAAATTAAGAAAAATTAAAAACTTTAAAAATAAATAAATAAATAAAATGTTTTATTTGTGTTTCGTAAACCCTAAACCCTAAAAAGGAGATTAAAAAGGGTTTGGAGAATTGAAATTAGGGTTTGAAAAACACAAATAAGGGTTTAGCGAGGTAAAATTTGGGTTTTAAAACACAAATTAGGGTTTAGGGAAACACAAATTGGAGTTTTAAAGAACACAAATTAGGGTTTAGGGAAGCACAAATTAGGGTTTAGGAAAACACAAATTAGGGTTTAGGGGGAAAATAGAGGTTTTCAACAACACAAATTAGGGTTTTGGGAAACCAAAATGAGGGTTTAAAAAATCACAAACAAGGGTTTAGGGGGACAAGAAAAAAGGGTTTAAAAAAGCAAAAAAAGGGTTTAGGGTTTTGGCAGACAAAAAAGGGTTTGGGACGAAGAAAGGGTTTGCGAAGAAAAAAGGGTTTAGAGGGAAACAAAAAGGGTTTAGGGAAATGGGAAAAGAGGGTTTACAAAAATGAGGGTTTAGCGGGGTCAAAAGAAGGGTTTACAACAACAAAAACGAGGGTTTAGGGAGACGAAAAAGGAGGGTTTAGAGAGATGCAAAAGCAGGGTTTAGGGTTTAGGAGGATTAAAAAAAGGGTTTAGGGTTTAGAAGTATAAAAAAAGGGTTTAGGGAGAAGAAAACGAGGGTTTCGGAAGGGTTTGGAAAGATAGAAAAAAGGGTTTAGGGAAATAAAAGTGAGGGTTTGGAAAAAAGGGTTTAAAGAGATACAAAAAATAGGTTTAGGGAAATAAAAAAGGGTTTAGGGTTTAGGAGGCAAAAAGAGGGTTTAGGGGAGACAAAAAGGGGTTTAGAAAGACAAGAAAAAGGGTTTAGGGAAATAAAAAGTGGTTTAGGGAATTAAAAAAGGTTTTGAAAAATAAAAAAGGGTTTGGGGAAATACAGGACGGCTTAGGGAAATAAAAAAGGGTATGGAGAAATAAAAAGGGTTTGGGGAAATACAAAAGGGTTTAGAGAGACAAGGAGTTTCAAATAATGAGAGAAAAAGCAACTAGGGTTTAGGGTTTCAAAAAAGGGTTTAGGGAGAAGAGGGAATGGGTTTGAAGAGGGCGAAAGGGTTTTGACAAATTAGGGTTTAGGGTTTCTCAAGGAGGGCCTAGGGTTTCTCAACAAGGGTTTAGGGTTTAGGGCTTAGAGAGAAGAGGAGAAGGGCTTGAAGAAAGCGAAAGGGTTCCGAGAAATTAGCGTTTAGGGTTCCGGAAGTTGGGCCTGGGGCTGCTCAACTAGGGCTTAGGGTTTAGGGTTTAGGGTTTAGGGTTTAGGGTTTCTCACAAGACAACTTTAACCACTTTTGAATGGCTGCAAAAAGGACAATCGAATTCTTTGTCGAGTTTGGGAACCCTGCTGGGTTTGGGTTTCATTTGGGCGCTTTTGCGTTTCCCCATTTTCCAAACCCTAAACCCTAAACCCTAAACCCTAAACCCTAAACCCTAAACCCTAGGCCCTGGAGGCGCCGGGGCAGACGGGGGGCTCGAAGTCCCTCTTCGGGGCTGCTTGTCAAGAAGAAAGCGCCAATTCACAGCAAACCCCAAACCCTAAACCCTAAACCCTAAACCCTAAACCCTCGCGGTGGGAGGATGGGTGCCAGCCACGCCCACCGCCAGACACCTTTCTTTTTCCCTTAAACCCTAAACCCTAAACCCTAAACCCTAAATTCAAAATATGTAAGAAAGGAAAAGGCCAAAATATCCCCAAGTATCCCTAAAATCCGGAACCCAAAACCCTAAACCCTAAACCCTAAACCCTCGCTTTGGTCCAGGGCATTCCAAGCGTCTCGCTTCGCTTTCTGTTGCTTTTTAATAAAATAAAATATACTAAAAAATAAATAAACCCTAATTCGAAAAAAATAAAAGGCAGGAGCGTGCGGGGGCCCCCGCCATGGCCCCGAGGGCCCCATCGGTAAACCCTCTTTTAGGGTTTAGGGTTTAGGGTTTAGGGCTTCGGTTGCGAGAAAGAAAAAGATTTAGGGTTTCCAGCTGCTATTTTAGAGCTGAAAATGCCTCAATAGGGTTTAGCCTCAGCCACGCCCTAACCCGTAAACCCCACTAAACCCTAAACCCTAAACCCTAAACCCTACACCAAGGTATAGGGTTAGAGTTTAGGGTTTACGGTTTAGTCTTAAAGCCAATTAACCCTACACCCTCAACCCTAAGTTTGGCATTTAGGGTTTAGGGTTTAGAGGGGTTCCCGGGATAATTGCTAAGCTCCAAACCCTAAACCCTAAACCCTAAACCCTAGCTCGGCCTGGTTGTTTCTGCCCGGCCGTAGGGTACTTGTTACTTATTTATGTATTTATGTATTTATGTATTTATGTATTTATGTATTTATTTATGTATTTATTATCTATTTATTTACATATTTATTTATTTATTTATTTATTTGTTATTTATTTATTTATTTATTTATTTACTTGAGCCTTTGGGACGCCCCCGAGACAAGAAACGCTTTTTACCTTTAAAATAGAAATAAATAAATAAAAAATAAAAATAAAATAATAAATGCATGAATAAACAAATAAATAAATAAATAATAAACTCTTTTTTGTTCCTAAACACGATTAAATTATTTAATTCTTTATTTATTTCACTTGTTTATTCTTTTTTATTTAATTGCAATCATTAGTTTTGCCTTTGGAACAAACAAATCCGAAAAAAAGCAGCAGCTGCAGCGGCTGCAGCAGCAGCAAATCCAGCAGCAGCAGCAGCAGCAGCAGCAGCTTAAACACCAGCTCAGGGACAGAAAGCAGCAGCAACAGCTTAAGCAGCAGCTTCAGCAGCAGCAGCAGCAGCTCAAGAAGTAACAGCAGCAGCAGCAGCAGCAACAGCAACAGCAGCAGCAGCAGCAACAGCAGCAGCAGCAGCAGTTTGAATAGGAAATTCCAATAAAAGGGAAGCAGCAACTGGAGAAGAGCAGCAGCAAATGGAATTAAAGATAAAATTAAATTTTAAAACATAAATTTAAAAAATAAAATAAAATAATCAAAATAATGAAAATGGCTGCAGCAGCAGCAAATAGGAAGAAAAGGATAATAAAGAATTAAAAAAGGACAAATTAAAGACAATTAAAGAATTAAAAACAATTAAAGAATTAAAATAATTAAAATATTAAAAGAGACAATTATATGAACCCACAAAATAACACAAAGTTTCTAGGGTTTAGGGTTTAGGGTTTGTCACTCTAACCCTAAACCCTGGACAACAGCTGCTACACCTCACGCTCATCACCTCACCCCAGAAACCCTAAACCCTAAACCCTAAACCCTAAACGCTAAACCCTAAACCCTAAACCCTAAACAGCGCGGTATGAGATTCGCGCTCTCGGTAGAATCTCTCGCCTTAAACTCTAAACCCTAAACCCTAAACCCTAGACCCTAAACCCTAAATCCTAGAAGTTATAAACATGAATGTAAGAATAAACTCAAAGGGGGTTAAAAAAGCTAAAAGGGCCAACGGCAGCAGAACCGAAACAAACAAACAATAAACAAAGAATAAATAAATAAATAAATAAATAAATAAATAAATAAATTAATTAATTATAATAAAAAATAAATAAAAACGAAAATGGAAGAGGAGACAGAGATTAAAAAGAAAAAAAAGTTAAGAGAATTGAAATAAAAAAGAAATTAAAAGGAGACAGTTGAGTTGCTGCTGAGGGTTTTCTTATGGGGCAAATAGCAGCAAACGATAATTTAAAGTTTGTCTCAAGAGCTGCAGCAGCAGCAGCTGCTGCTGCTGTTGCTGTTGCTGTTGCTGTTGCTGTTGCTGATGCTATTGCTGTTGCTGTTGCTGTTGCTGTTGCTGTTGCTGTTGCTGATGCTATTGCTGCTGCTGTTGCTGTTGCTGTTGCTGCTGCTGCACAGTGTCCCCTTTCTGCTGCTGCCGCCGCTGCTGCTGCAACAGTTTCTGTCGCAACTCCTGCAGCAGCAGCAGCAGCAGTAGCAGCAGCAGGAGTCACTGTTGACGCTCCGCTTCTGCAGCAGCGACAGCAGCAGCAGCAGCAATAATCTCCGTTGCAGCTCCTGCAGCAGCAGCAGCAGCAGCAGGAGGCAAGTCGTTGCTGCAGATCAGTTCCACAAGGAGATTTAGTTGAAGTGTACAGACAGCTG